TTAATGACATCTTTTTTAACATCATCACCTGGCTATAAATCTTTCGCTCTTTGTTGAAACTAATTTACAAATTACTCATTATTTGACACCAAAACAATTTTCCTATTGTAGCACCAAAACACATGCATATTGTCTCGAACTATGTAAGTAGTATCTTATCATTATTAGAAAACTTAACCAAAATTCTAAAAGGAAAGAAAGCTAAAATCATAAAAAGAATACAAAACCCTAATTTAAAAGGAAACAAAAATCCTACTATAATAGTAACTAGTATTTTATTTATAATAGGATTGTTTTACATCATTCTCTTTAACTTGAAGAAAAACTCATCATTGAGTTTGGTTGAGAAGAGAACATTAATCAATTTGGAGGAAAAATCTCTAGAATTTCTACATCACGTTGATAGGATTCGAAAATAGCTTGGACTTAAGAAAAATTTAGCAAGTTTTTGTCGTGTTCTAGACTCATTGAAGAGACCAACACTCATGATAGTCAAAATCTGTAAATTTTTGTTAAAGGTTTGAACATAACTATCATTCGTTCTAGATTATAGACCGAGTTTGGTAATTTTGTAATCTTCCTATTGTCATACAACTTTGCTCGCGTCTAAAGCCCTCCCACGCTCATATATTTATTTGCCCAGCTGATTTGACTGTCAAAGTGAGCGCGGTCAACTCCACCACCACCGGAGGAAGCTACATGTGGCTAACGGGTTTGTCCAAGTGTGTAGGAATCAGGCTTGCGTGGACGCGATAGGCTTTGGGATCTATTAATCACATTGGAGGTACAAAATTCAAGGTCAACAAATAATATAGACAATCAACGTTGTTTGGCAATTGTCTAAATCCATAGGGAACAATCCACTAAGTTAAGAATAAATTTGCAGGTACAGGAAATTTGCACAGATTTTGTACAGATAGCATTTCTCCTAAGTTAAAATGGATAAGATTAGACTAAAACAAATAAAAACTCCCTCTTCAACATTGACGTTGATGTGAAGAATTAGGTTGAGCGAGCACCATTCTTCATGTTAATTTGAAGCTGTTGAACTCAGAGGCGGACCCAGGATTATGGTTCGGGAGGGG